ACATCCTTATGATCTTATATTATAGCAACTGGTAAATAATTCACCAGAAATTTTCTATGAACAGAAATGAGTAAAAGTATAGAAAATTAAAACTATTTGGAAAATTTAGTTTAAATAACATGTATATGTAGCCCTTAAGCATATAATCCTTATAGCATTTTTATCACTTGAATATATTTCTTAAAGCAATTAGTTAAATCACTACAAACAAATCTGAAAGAAATGAACACATGTTTTAGAAAATAGACTCCATGTTCAGCGTAATTCAAAGAGACATTCTTCATTTTTACCTCTATCACATTCTACAGAAACTGATCACTAGTGAATGCCAATACATAATTTGAGAACAAGCTTAGAGTAAATTGTGAATGGTGAAACTTTACTTTTAACATTCACAAATGTAGTTAAGGATAGTGAAAGATGAAGTAAAAAAATGAATAAATTGAAATATGACAGTTTCAGTTAAATAATTAACTCTATAAGCAATGTTCCTTGAGTTTATATTAGAATCTTGCTTTCTTGCCCAAAAGAAATAATATATGCCCTAATAAACTCCAGTGAGATATCATAATTCACAATTATCAGAAGCTAATTGTGAAGAAGAAAGATAATATACTTGCCTTTAAAAGCTCATAATCTCATTTTTTTGGTCAAAAACCCTTGGGAACAAAAATAAATAAACCAAGTAACTTTTGAGAAATATGAACAAGTTTTATTAGGAAGATATGTGAAAGGATATATATATATAGAGAGAGAAAGAATGAGAGTATAACATGCTTAAGAGACTTCTCCAGAGTGAAGAGAAAGCCCCAGTATACATCCCAGAGTTAGATATGAAAGTACACATTTCAAGACGGAGATGCAATTTTGATTACTCTCTTCATTTCATGTATTGACTGTGTCAGAATTCACAGCTACAAAAATTGATACTTATTGCTCATCATTTTCTATCATTTCAGTTCTTTAATGTTCTCAATTCTGCTTGCCAAGGATATCACTCTTTGGTCCTGTCTCTAAAAAAAAATACTCTGTCAATTTATCAATATACATAACATCATTTTTCTTTCCCTTCACTTACTGCTTCATCTGGCAACAGGAGAAATTTTGGAGATTATTAACAAATCTGTGTCAGAGTAGTAGGGCAGAGATAAATATCAGAGAATTTGGGGAGGCACTAAAATTGCTTTGCATAAAAAATTCTAAAGATAGGTGCATATGAATTATGCAATAGCAAGAATAAGCACTAGTATAAACCCAATCATTGGTCATTGTGTGATCATAATGTGCCAGTATAGGTCCATCCTTGCTAACATTTATACCATTCTGGTGAATTATTTTGATAATAGGAAGACCACTGATATCTGTAATATGGGAATATGTAGAAATTGAGGGCTGGAACGATAGCACAGTGGGCAAGGCATTTGTCTTGCACACAGCCAACCCAGCCAGCCCAGGTTTGATTCCTCCGCCCCTCTAGGAGAGCCCAGCAAGCTACCCAGAGTATCTTGCCCACTCGGCAAAGCCTGGCAAGCTACCCGTGACATATTCGATATGCCAAACACCATAACAAGTCTCGCAGTGTTACTCGGCCCACTTGAACAACTCTATGAACAACGGGAGGACAGTGCTACAGTGCTACAGTAGAAATTGAACTACAAACCCTTTATAACTGCATAAATTTAAAGCTGTTGTTACTGTAAAGATAAACAATAAGTTAAATGTTTTTGACCTTATTTGAAAAAGCAGAAGGAAGCAGAAACTGTGAAGTTTTCTTTGTTGTCTAAGGCTTCACTTGAAGTGCTAATGCAGAAAACAGAATTTACATTTGTATAACTCCAAAGAACTTTATCTTCCTCCAAAGTCAGCTCCCATTCAATGTCAATTCCTCAGACTCAATAAGACTTCTTTCCACAGGCTCTGTTTCACTGTCACTGTCACTGTCCTCCCATTGTTCATCAATTTGCTGGGGTGGGGGAGCAGTAACATCTTCATTGTGACAATTATTACTGTGTTTGGCATATCGAATATATCAGGGGTAGCTTGCCAGGCTTTGCCTTGCCGGCGAAATACTCTCCAAAGCTTGTGGGGCTCTCCAAGAGGGGCGGAGGAATTGAACTCGGGTCTGTGTTGGCTGTGTGCAAGGCAAAGGCCCTACCTGCTGTGTTATTGCTCCAGTGCCGCTCTATTTCATTAAAAGCAAATGTCTGTATTAAGGTTTATCATAACATTTAAAAGCAAGCCAATTAATTTAAGTTTGGTACTCATACTGGTAAATTTCCTTAATGCAAGACTTAAATTATTTTAGTATAGGTATAAAAGTTGACACCCTAGGCACAACTACTACTACAATTCCCCACCCCTCTAGTAAATGTCTCAAGTATAATTTTGACAATCTTGAGGAAGAGAAAAAGTAAACTGTCATTTCTGTCTGCTCTTTTTTTGTTAGTTCAGCCTCTTTGATCAATCCATCCAAATTTGCAAAACCCCAGAAATAGATATTACAAAAGATTGTAATAAAATAGAAAGATAAGTGGACCATTAAATAGATAAAATATTATAATTTTGAATAAATCCCTTGCTTCAGATTCATCACCACATTCTGGGAACCTTGTCATAAATGTATAACATTAGAATTAGAATATGATGTTGAAAGTGTCAATTTTATTAATACAGACTATTTTATTGTTGGTTAGGTGTTCATTGCTTAACCTAAAATGTCGTTTTTATCATTGGGAGATCTGATATTACCCTTTTTAACGTTCCTCACTGGGTTTGATTATCCTCTTCTTGGTGCCAACGATAAACCTTTACCTCAGATCTTATGTTTTCCTGCTAGGTTTAGTATATTAACTCGACTCCATGTATCATCCAGATATCTGTGATTTATGAAATACCAAACATTAACAACTGAAATTTATTCTGCTTATTTATAGAACAACTGTCACATTAAGGAGTGAACAGTAGAACCTATCAGGCTTGGGAATGGTTGATTTAGAAAACTAGGTGGCATGAACCGTAGAAATAACTTACTGTAAAAGAGACTTGAACAACACCCTTTCCCCAGGACCTTCATAATTGTGATACAGGTGGGGTTCCCAACTGATTTATGTGAAGTGGGGAGGACAGAGACATCAACCTCAAGGAGGGAATCTGCCATTTTCTCTCTATCCACCTCTGCTACCCAGGGAACAGCTGGGAAAATCTAGGTCTGATAAGATTCTGTTGTGGGCCTTTTCCCTGCAGGATAGGAATCAGTCCTAGACATTACATAGGCATTTTGGGTTCTTTACCTTTCTCTCAGAAAATAATTTCAAGGGAATATGGGCAGTGAAGTAAAAGAACAGATGTTATTTGCAAATTCTGAGGATGGAACACACAGACAGACTCATACCAGTGAGTGGGGCTGGAGAGAGAAAGAGTACATGGGCTTCTCTAGAGTGGAAAGAGGAGTCCTGGTGTACATGGCAGTATTAGATATAAAAATATGAGTGTAGGGACTGGAGCGATAACATAGCAGGTAGGGTGTTTGCCTTGTCCTTGCACACCACCTACCCGGGGTCATTCCCAGCATCCCATATGGTCCCCTGAGCACCACCAGGAGTAATTCCTGAGTGTGGAGCCAGGAGTAACCCCTGTGCATTGCCTGGTATGACCCCGAAACCCCCCAAACCCTAAAAGATATATATATATATATTTATGTATATGTATATATATATATATATGTGTGTGTGTGTGTGTGTGTGTGTGTGTGTGTATGTAATCATCTCAAGAGGGGGAAAATGGGTGACACAGGCACCACATATACTTGGCAGCAACATGGGCTTGTGCAGTACATGAACACACTTTCTTTATTCAAGTTTGCTTTTATAGGTTTTCTCCCATCATGGGGAGACCCATGTGGAACTTTCTACCTAGGTGAGAGTTAGTTGCTAGAGTGGTTGTCAAGAGGGTAGAATTGGGAGTAGTTGATTGTTCTCTTTAATCACTTTCCTGAGCATTGCTCTTACTGGAACCTTTCTCAGAGGAGGGTGTAGCCTTCTGTAGGTCTGCACTGGAACTGAATAGAGGTTTTTATCAGGCCTTAATTCCTGTGCCACAGTGTGGGTCCTGATAGTCTTAGGGCTAGTTGGTTGTGTTACTTCCCAACAACTCTTTGCCAAAGGGAGCCCTTCCCTATTTACCTGCCTGCCTGCTTCAATTGTATACTTCCCAGAAATTCATTTTTATTGACTACTGATTATTCATTCTTATATTTATTTTATGCTAAGAAATACATATTATATAGTAAAACTAGGTAAAACATATTTACTGCAAAATAAGGACTATGCAATGATGAATTAAAGTACCATTCATGGCATACCGTCCTATGAGAAGCCTAATGTTTAAACTAATAAACGATTCTTTATTTTAGTAAATCATGGTAGATTTTATTGAAGTCAAAACTTGGTTTGAAAGATCCGAGAGGAAAAAAGGAGGAAGGTATGGGTTTAAGAGTGAACACAAACTTCTCCAGAGTAGAAATAAGCAAACAAACATAGAGACAAACATAGAGATATGCATTCAACAGAGATACAGTGTGACTCAGGTCCTGCAGTTGTGGAGAGTACCAGGACCACCCCAAATAACCTCAGCTGCCTCCAATTATACAACTAGTAATATTCAGATTTTGCCTGGTCCCAAATTGAAAGTCCTACACCCTGACTTGTACTCTGCTTTGTCTTTCTGCTGAAACTTTAACTAAAGTTTAATTTTGAAAATAAAAAATATCCCTAGTAATAAAAGAATTTCACTGGGTATAGATAAAACAAAATTTATTAGAGACCATTTCAATTAACTTAAAAATAGTTTAAAGTGTAATTGTTAGGTCTCTTAATAGATATGTTGCTATTTAGTTTTATTCTTTGATGTTAGTATTATATTGTTTGTTATAATAGCCAGATTGATGTAATAACGCTATCTGTTTCTCTTAATCTTTTTTTCCTCTTGCTTTTTCTCTCAAGGATGCACCAACTTTGCCTGGACAGAATGACAGCATTCAATATAAGTCAAGCATTGGAGAAAATATAACAGTCCCTGCCTGTAATCCTAATGTAAGAAAATAATACGATGACAACATAATTGTTACAATATTTAACATGAAGATAAAAAATAAGCATTTCAATTTTATAGCCCATGCTACTTTCTTTCTTCTTTCTTTCTTTCTCTCTTTCTTTCTTTCTCTCTTTCTTTCTTTCTTTCTTTCTTTCTTTCTTTCTTTCTTTCTTTCTTTCTTTTACTCTTTCTCTCTCTTTTTCTTTCTGTCATTCATTCTTTCTTTCTTTCTTTCTTTCTGTCATTCTTTCTTTCTTGCAATATAAAACAAACCAGTAAAATATTCTATTCTTTTTTGCATTTTAACAAAAGAGAAAATAGAGGAGTCTTGGCTTCTATTATTTTAAAATATAACATTTTAAAATATTATATAATATTTAAGGTATTATATATTATTATATAATATATAAGATAATATTTTATACAGTGATTTGAAAGGTTTTAATGTCATATTAGTCTAATTAACTTTCAAACATTATCATGACATTAAACAAAAATCTAAACTCATAAATACTACAGTTGAAATTTCAAAAGCTTTCCTTCTATTTTTTAAAAAATATTTTTTTCCTCTTATAAACACTCTGGTTTACAAAGTTGTTCATGAAAATTTGTTAAAGACATTTAAATATACCAACACAAATATCACCACCCTCAGACCATTGCACCTTGCCACCACCATTTTCTCCAATTTTCCCAATTATCCCTTAAGCCAGTCAACACTGAGGCCTTCATTGCTATCTTGCATTTATGTGTATATATGATATACTAAATGTACTACTTAGTAATTGCATAATTATTTTATTTTTAAAATAATTAATTTAAAATGTTAATCTTTAGATCTCTATATCAGCTGCTTCACAGTTCCAGACTGGGAATCAAGTATTATATTGTAATACTTTAATATTTGTTTGGAGGATTAGAAACACATCCTGCCTATGTGAGCAAGGTGTGGTCATATAAGGAAAGTCATATTCCTCTTGTCTTAGAGACTTAGAAAACTTAAAATTAATCGCCAGAGGCTTAACCACATATTGTAATATCAGTTTGAAGTATGATTAAATTACTCTGAATGCAGTTTAAATAATTTTGGCATCATATTGAGTAAAGCAAAGGATATATTTGCTTCATTACATTTTCTTGCAGTTCGTAAGTGTTTTTTATAATGTTTAATATTACACCAAGATTAAAGACATTGAGCATTTTATTTTAATTTTCACTTTGGGATTAAGGCATTTCTCACTGTAAATGTATTTTGTTTTATGTTTCCAACTTACTAAAGTAGCATTTATTTAATTTTTTCTTAATGTGCTATGGAAATGAAAAGTGAGAATGGTTTATGTTTTGCCCAGAAAGTACTGGCTTAGTTTCTTGTCACATGCTTTCAAGTCTTATCTAGGGAAAAGGAGGAGAAAATCTGTATAGTGTAAAACCTAGAATTTGAATCATGATCACGACCATCCTGTTATTCGTCGATTGCCTCGAGCAGGCCTCAGTAACGTCTCCTTCGTCCTAGCCCTGAGATTTTTAAAAAAGTGCCATATTCAAGGCTCTTTCAGAGTTAGGAGAATGAGACCCATCATTGTTACTGGTGTTTGGCATATTGGGTACGCCACGGGGAGTTTGCCAGACTCTGCCATGTGGGCAGGTGACATTCGGTAGCCTGCCAGTTTGTGCAAAGTAGAAATAAAATAATAAGATGTTGCGCAGCCGCAAATGTGGCCACGAGCTTCCGGGAGCTGGGTTTTATAGTCTCTGAGCCTTGGCCATTGTGGTGGTGGCTGGTTCTGGAGGTCTTCGGCTGCTGGATCCCTTGTCGGGGTGGGGAGGAAAACTCAACCCACTTGCCTTCAATGGCCCTGGTGAGGACAGACAGGCTCAGGGGCAGGAGACTCTGCGATGTTCTCCTCCGGGAGCTGGGTTTTATAGTCTCTGAGTCTTGGCCATTGATGGGATTACATGGAGTCTCCTGCCCCCACACTTGGCTGTCCTCACCGGGGCCCCTTGAAGGCGAGTGGGTTGAGTTTTCCTCCCCGCCCTGACCAGGGCTCCGGCAGCCGAAGACCTCCAGAACCAGCCACCACCTTGCTGAGACCACTCTCCGCACACATGAAGGTACTGGTAGAGGAACAAAGGCACGCAGGTCCCGGGGCTGAGATCTCCAGGCCTACTTGGTTCCGGGCTGAGCATCCTCCACCCAGATCCTCCAAATTCCAGTAGGTGGGAGTCACACCCACCAACTGGCCCCCTGGCACCGTGTAATCCCATCAACCCAAGAATTTGAAAGAAGAAAATTATTCCATCACATACAGGTTGGAATAATTTTAGCAGATATTTAAGAAATATTGAGTTTTTTTTAATTAAATTTAATATTCATTATATTATGTGAATTACTCCGATGAGTTGTTGGCAGTAGCTTGGTTAGTAAACTTTACCAAGTAAGTCAAAACCTGCTATAATTGGATTGAAAGACAAAATTCTATTGATATTCTGGTCTATATATTTCATAAATATCATCTGAAGTGGCTGACTCATACAAGATTTTTAGTCTCTGCTGTATTATCATGGTACTTTTAAGAAGGAACACCTACAAATAACATTGGCCTAGTAGGTGTCTCTCTTATGTTTTAAAATCCATTTTTTTCTTTTTACATTGAAAATAATTTTTCATGTTTACCCTCTCATATGTCTTAATATCTCTTAAAACAGAAAAATGTGAAATTAATTGTAAGTTCTTAACACGTGTTATATAGAAAACATAGAACTAGTGATTATCTTATTTTATAAATAAAATAACTCAACAAGAATATTAACATTATAATTATAATGTTCAAAAGATTTGCCAATGGATGACAAATCAAGACCCAAGTCTTATCAATAATTATTTGACACCTCCAATATCCCCTGCAAGATATATAGGCAGTTTTCTTTTATGGGTCACAGCCCTTTGTTTAAGCATAGATATAGTTCTGTATCAAGGTCACCTTGCATTTTGATTATTTGTAGGTTCTCACTTTGAACTTCACACGGTGGTACTGGAATAAATACATACTTTTAGACTATTGGAATAGAATTGAGAGACCAGAGATACAATCTTAGATATGGGGTTAGCTTACCTCTACCATAGAATCTAGAAATATGAAGTGCGAAACACGGAAAAATTAACTAGTGGTGCTGAGAGAACTAGTTACTAACCTGTAAAATAAAATGATCTCAGACTACATCTATTACCTGACACAAAGTTCTTTTTGTTTATTTGGTGTTTTGGCCATACATACCCAATTATGTGCTCAGCATTTACTACTGGCTTTGTACTAAGGGATCACTCCTAGTGAAAGTCAGATGAATTTATTGGCATTCTGGGAATTAAACCCATACCAGTTGCTTAAAAAGAAAATGCCTTACTGTACTCTGGGACCAAGCGTCAATTAAAAATTGATTAGAGAATTCTATATCAGATCTGATTTCATAGATTATACTGAAGAAAACATAGGTAGAGCCTTTTAAGGCACTGGATATAGAGATATCATCAGGATTCAATGCCTTTGGTCAAATAAACAGAAACAATGATAAATAAGTAGGATCACATCAAACAAACTATAGCACAAAGAAAGCAATAAAAATGTCCATACCACTCATCTGAAAGAATCAATAGCCAGGATCACAAAGCACTTGAAAAACTTAACAAGAAAAAGGAAAACAACTATCAAAAAATAAGGAGATGAACAAAAACTTCAAAGATAAAATGCTATGCATCAATTATTATCAAGAAAATGCAAATAAAGTCAAGAGTGTGACATCATCTCATACCTGTGAGACTTAAACACATAGAAAGTGCAACCGATTTTGAAGTGGATTTTGGGGAAAAGAAACTGTCATTAATTGCTTGTGGGAATGTTAACTAATTCAACCTTTTAGGATAACAATATGGCCACGTTTCCAAAACCCGAGAGTTGAGCTTCCACGCGATCCAGCAATTCTACTTCTTGTTCTCTATCTCAAGTGGTCACAAACTCTATTCTGAAATGATACGCACTGTTATGTTCATTGCAGAACTATACACAATAGCCAAAAGCTGAAATACCCAGTGTCCAAAACTAGATGAATATATAAAGGAACTATACTATATATGAATAGTTGAATACTACTTGGCTATAAGAAAAGACAAGATCATGAATTTTGTCACTATGTAGAGGGATCTGACAAATATCATGTCAAGTGAAGTTAGAAAGAAATGAAGAGATACATAATAACCTCTCTTCTATTTGGAATATAAGGAAATTTTGTAAGGGGATGACAGATGGCCAAAGTCAACAGAACCTTATAACTAACTGGTCTACAGAACTGAGCTTACTGCAGGAGAGGGACATGGAATGAAAGAATGTATTACGTACTGAGTGGGCACCATGAGGCAGGGGTAGAAGGAGGCATATACTCTGTTTGAGGGAGTGGTATTGGAATGTTATATCCTGAGAGTAGCCACGGTACCCTGTGATACTCAAGACCTAGGATACCCAGTACCCACTGAAGCATCAAACCAGATTTTCAGAGAATTGCTAGGACTGACCCTCTGATTCCCTAAGTATCACCAGGAAGGCCTCCCTTTGAAAGTCACGGTCATCACGGTCATGGTCCTCCCGTTGTTCGTTGATTTGCTTGAGCGGGTCTAGTAACATTGTGAGACTTGTTACTGTGTTTGGCATATCGAATATGTCACGGGTAGCTTGCCAGGCTTTGCCATGCAGGGGAGATACTCTCGGTAGCTTGCCGGACTCTCCGAGAGGGCCGGAGGAATCGAACTCGGGTCAGCCATGTTGGCTGCGTGCAAGGCAAAGTAAGAAAAGAAAAAATGAACAGGAGTATGGTTTGTCTGTAGACTCCTAGAAATTTGAAAATATTGTCATTGGTCCCTCACTGTTTTCCAGTTTACCATACTTCAATCAGTGGATCCAGAGGTATCACCTGATTCATCATTATTATTTCATATTTCAATGTTTCATTGTTGTTCATAATT